ACAAACCTCCTCTTTATTTCCTCGTTTGAGGAAATGTTGAGCAACATGTAGTGGCAATATATTGGCAACTAGTTTCAGATTGTAAGCTCTCAAACTCTCCATCTCCTCTTTCTCCTCTGTTGCCTGAAATCATAAAATCATAACCCCATTTATCACATAACCGTGCCTATTTTGCGGCTCTGTAATACTGGTATTGCATGGCCGTGCATATTTTTTTATGTGACTCATTAACGTTATTTATCACATACCCGTGCCTATTTTGCGACTCCATTAAAATTGTATTGCACGGCTGTGCATATATTTTGATGTGACGTATTTAACATTATTTATCACCTACCCGTACCTATTTTGCGGCTCCAAAAAAATGATATTGCCTTGCCGTGCATATATTTTGATGAGACATCATTTTTGTAATATAAACATAGCGTTAAGACGGGCTATTAATGTAAACGTTATACTACAGGCGCATCAATGAAATTGTTTATCACTTAAAATGGTCTTTATTTTATGTATGTGATAAATAGAATATTACAGTTCATTACTAAATTTATTGAAATATTCAATAAAACAATATTATGCTCGCCAGAGGCTCGGTTAATATAATTTTATTCAACTCATTCAATAAATTCTAAATATCAAACTTACACTTATTCAATATCCTCTTTATGTCAAATATTATACACACAAAATTTTGATGGTTCTGGTTAATAACTTTATACAGAATTTACTTTTGTTTCATTAGTTCAAACATATTTTATTTCTCAGAATATAATTTTAATACACATTACAATTAACAATATACAAAAAGCATTTGTAATATTCTTACATATAAGATTAGAATGAAAGAGAAAGTGTATTATCAAATTCTTCTCCTTCAGTTTGATTGCTTATCAGGAAGCTATAACCTTATAGACACACTTTCGAATCATGACTAAAAACTTAGACCCTGACAAACCCATTTGGCAGATCTAACAACTGAGTTATACATTGCCACTACATATAACACATATTCACCAATATAAGTCAACAGTTCTAATATTATACAGTGACAAATGAAAGTCCTAAATTCAGCTTAATCATTTATTCAATCTCAAAATACAAACTTTTAGCTACCAATTGTAGCAATTACAGAGTGAGATCAGACAATGCATGTACATGCTGACTTTGCTCTATTGTAGGCAATTCTAAAGCACATTTTTATTGTATCTTAAATGATCAGTAAATGGTAAACCATGAGCTTTACCTGAACTTTCCACAGGAAGTCTAGCCTAGCTGTAGACTCCACTTGTTGAGCATGGATGAACAGTATAAAAGTGAACACAATAAGTATTACTATTGTCTCCCATTTCTGTGGAATATTAGTTGTTGGCTCACCCATCTCTTTCCTGAAAATATATTGTGATATAAACACAGAACAATCACTGGCAATTTGTGATATATAAGCAAATCTAAAAGAAAGATTTGTCAATGCCATACTTTACTTGCCTACCAATCTTTAGACAACTAACATTATTCTTATTTTACCAGCTACTTGTGGACTTAACATCCAGCCGAGTATTTCAATACACTACATGCACTAAGAAAAATTACTTTAAGTAAGGGTCAGATATAAGGTGAAAGAATATGTCAAAAATGGCAAATATTTCAATGTCACAAAATTAACCACTTATACAGTATTTCATTACAAAGTGCCAAGAAAAAGATAATTGTGGTTTAAATTAAGTCATATTTGAGTTAAACTTTATCTTATAAAACCCAGGCAAAGGCAATATGGATATAAGCCCTATTTGATTTTTTATTTATTAACATCATCATTTAATTTATTCATTTATATCACAAACTGTCTTGACTTGAACATTTTGAGTTCAGGACCTATTTGAGTTACATTACATCACATAATTCTTAGGCTAAGACTAATAGTCCTCTCTGAGTTATATCATATCATATAAATGTCTAGGCTAAAACATTGAATGCTCAAGTCCTATTTGAGTTATATTACATCACATAATGTCTAAGCTAAGACACAGTCTAAGGTTCAATTCCTATTTGACTTATATTACATCGCATAATGTCTAAGCTAAAACACAGTAGTTTTAAATCCTATTTGAGTTATATTACATCACATAATGTCTAAGTTAAGACACAGTCTAAGGTTCAAGTCCTATTTGACTTATATTTCATCACATAATGTCTAAGCTAAAATACAATTGTTTCAAGACTTATTAGAGTTATATTATATCACATAGTGTATAAGTTAAAACACAGTCTAAGGTTCAACTCCTATTTGGCTTATATTACATCACATAATGTCTAAGCTTAGAAAGCACAGTAGTTTCAAGACCTATTTGAGTTATATTATATCACATAATGTCTAAGCTAAGACACAGTGGGTTCAAGTCCTACTTGAGTTATATTACATCATATAATGTCTAAGCTAAAACACAGTAGGTTCAAGTCCTATTTGAGTTATATTATATCATATAATTTCTAAGCTATTTAGACACAGTAGTTTCAAGACTTATTTGAGTTATATAATATCACATAGTGTATAAGTTAAAACACAGTCTAAGGTTCAACTCCTATTTGACTTATATTACATCACATAATGTCTAAGCTAAAGCACAGTAGTTTCAAGACCTATTTGAGTTATATTATATCATATAATGTCTAAGCTAAAACACAGTAGGTTCAAGTCCTAGTATTTGGGTTATATTATATCATATAATGTCTAAGCTAAGACACAGTAGGTTCAAGTCCTAGTATTTGAGTTATATTATATCATATAATTTCTAAGCTAAGACACAGTAGGTTCAAGTCCTATTTGAGTTATATTATATAATATAATGTCTAAGCTAAGACACAGTAGGTTCAAGTCCTAGTATTTGAGTTATATTATATCATATAATGTCTAAGCTAAGACACAGTAGGTTCAAGTCCTATATGAGTTATATTATATCATATAATGTCTAAGCTAAGACACAGTAGGTTCAAGTTCTATTTGAGTTATATTATATAATATAATGTCTAAGCTAAGACACAGTAGGTTCAAGTCCTAGTATTTGGGTTATATTATATCATATAATTTCTAAGCTAAGACACAGTAGGTTCAAGTTCTATTTGAGTTATATTATATAATATAATGTCTAAGCTAAGACACAGTAGGTTCAAGTTCTATTTGAGTTATATTATATCATATAATGTCTAAGCTAAGACACAGTAGGTTCAAGTCCTATTTGAGTTATATTATATCATATAATGTCTAAGCTAAGACACAGTAGGTTCAAGTCCTATTTGAGTTATATTATATCATATAATGTCTAAGCTAAGACACAGTAGGTTCAAGTCCTATTTGAGTTATATTATATCATATAATGTCTAAGCTAAGACACAGTAGTTTCAAGTCCTATTTGAGTTATATTATATCATATAATGTCTAAGCTAAGACACAGTAGGTTCAAGTTCTATTTGAGTTATATTATATAATATAATGTCTAAGCTAAGACACAGTAGGTTCAAGTCCTATTTGAGTTATATTATATAATATAATGTCTAAGCTAAGACACAGTAGGTTCAAGTCCTATTTGAGTTATATTATATAATATAATGTCTAAGCTAAGACACAGTAGGTTCAAGTCCTATATGAGTTATATTATATACCATAATGTCTAAGCTATAACACTGTGGGTTGACATCTTATTGAGCTATATTTCATCATTTTACACCAGTACCAATTAGTGGTAGGTTACAGATTGATTTATACATTAACTTTTAGCATTAATTTATACATAAGCTTTCAGCATTATTTATGCATAAGCTTTCAGTATTAATTTATACATAAGCTTTCAGCATTATTTATGCATAAGCTTTCAGCATTAATTTATACATAAGCTTTCAGCAATAATTCATACATAAACAATCAGCATTAATTTAGACATAAGCTTTCAGTATTAAGTTATATATAAGCTTTCAGCATTGATTTATGCATAAGCTTTCAACATTTATTTTTACATAAACTTTCAGCATTAATTTATACATAAACTTTCAGCATTAATTTATACATTAACTTTCAGCATAAATTCATACATAAGCTTTTAGCATTAATTTATACATAAACATTCAGCATTAATTGATACATATGCTTTCAGCATTAATTTATACATTAACTTTCAGCATTTTATCTATACATAAGCTTTCAGCGTTAATTTATAAATATGCTTTCAGCATTTTATCTATACATAAGCTTTCAGCATTAATTTTTACATAAAATTTCAGCATTCATTTGTAAATAAGCTTTCAGCATTTAATTTATACATAAGCTTTCAGCATTCATTTACAATTCAGAATCTTTTAGCATTCATTTATACATAAAATGATAAATCCATTAAAGCCTTAAATCTAAATCAAAATATTGATTTCTTCCCATTGATTTTAAATCTCATCCTAGAAATGTAAACAAAACAGCTTAAAGGCAATGTAACATGAATTTCTATTCAATAAAACATTATAATTACCCGACGTTTGCACGTAACAGTAAATCCCTGTTATCGAACATGTTAAAGTATTCTAATTCAACCATGGCTATGTACACAGATGACAGACATAACAGTAGAAGTAGCTTGATGATGCTGGAACTGTGAACATAAACTGAACTGCTTGTCATAGCCAGGCACACACAGAATGTAATGTACTGAAATAGATCAAAAATAATAATAGAGAATTATAAGCATGCTTATGTCTGATAAGGTAAAATTTATCAGGCATGGCTTATAGATAACAAGGGTGCCATGGTCACAAAATACGCCGTTTACGAAAGCTTTAGATGGAGATGGGGGCATTATGGATAAGTGTTACCTAGCAAGCAAGTTTTTATTCTTGGCACTGTGTTGTTAAATGAACCTTAAAACAAATTAGTAGGGAAGATATGCACAGGATATGTGACCTTGACCTTGGTCGCAGGGACCTGAATTTTATGCACGGCACTTAGCCTCACAATGATGAACATTTGTGCAAAATTATATTGAAATCCCTCTATGCATATAGAGGTTTTGCTCCAGACAAGCGTTTTTGTATGAGCTCTAACTGTGACCTTCACCTTTGACCTAGAGACTTGGTTCTCATGTGCAAGGCACTACGTCTCATGGTGGTGAACAATTCAATAAAGTAACATTAAAATTCCTCCATGCATGTAAAAAATATGCTCCGGACAACATCTGGATATTCAATCATCATCAGTGACCTTGACCTTGCAAATATTGACCCAAAATTATATGTGTAAAATTAAAATCATGTTTAAAAATTTGTCTACAAAAATAAAAGATGATAAAGGGTCCCTATACCATTTCAAATTTTTTATTGAACTTTATCTATGTGTATTATTTGGGCGCAGGATTTAATTTTTTGGTTGGGAAAGTCCAATGGTGAAATTTGTGAATTATTAATCCCCTAAAGAATTGAAAAAAGTTTTTCCGGACAAGTTTTTAATGACTTAAGGTGACTTACCTTTGACCTGGGACCTGGATCGTTGGAGCAATACATATATGGTGGTTAAACATTTCCATAAAAAATATTATAAAATTTTTTCCATAATAAAATGGGAAAATTGCCGACAAATTTGGATATTTCCCTCTTTAGTGACCTGGACCTTGATATATTGACCTAAAGTCTTTGTCAGGTGTATGAAATAATTTGTGTTACAATCCCTTATATAATGATGATATAAATCTTCCCTATACACATCTTTCATATTTTTATCTAAACTTTGACCTCTATGTGTGACCTTGACCTTGGCTGCAGGGACCTAAATTTTGTGTGCGACACTCCACCTCACAATGATGAACATTAGTGCCAAGTTATATTGAAATCCCTCTATGCATGTGGAAGTTTTGCTCCGGACAAGAGTTTTTCAATGAGCTCTAAGTGTGACCTTGACCTTTGACCTAGAGACCTAGGTCATATGCGTAACATTGCTTCTCATAATGGTGACTTTTCATTAAAATCCCTCCATGCGTGTAGGAGATATGCTCCGACAAAATCTGGATATTACATTATCTTTAGTGACCTTGACCTTGTATATATTGACCTAAATTATATGTATCACAGCCATAGTCTTGATAATGACCATTTGTGTTACAATCCCTGAATAAATGATAACTAAATGGTCCATATACACATCTTCATATTTTTATCTGAACTTTGACCTCTATGTGTGACCTTGACCTTGGCCGCAAGGACCTGAATCTTGCGCCCGACACTCCGCCTCACAATGGTTAACATTTGTGCCAAGTAATATTGAAATCCCTTCATATCGAATTTTTGCTCCGGACAAGAATTTTTCAATGAGCTCTAAGTGTGACCTTGATCTTTGACCTAGAGACCTGGTTCATGTGCGCGACACTGCTCCTCATAGTGGTGAACATTTCTATGAAGTTTCATTAAAATCCCTCAATACATGTAGGAGATATGCTCCGGACAAAATTGGACGCCGCCCGCCAACCGCCCGCCCGCCAGGGGCGTTCCCATAATACGTACCTTTTTTCAAACGGGCTTAAAAAAAAAGAAGGGAGAAGCTCAGTGCCGTCCGAGTCCTTATTTTTTTCATGCTGAGTCTGATAAATTATATAATATCAGAAACTTGTTTGGTACTATGTTAGTATTCTTTTTATCACATTTTAACTTTAAATATGTGTGTATTTTTTGAAAGTAAATATCTTTATAACTTCATGTCATGTGCAATAACATACATATTTAGATTGCCAATGTTCCCTTTGATAAGAAATAGTCCCAAATGATTTTAATCAATGTTATGTGAGACTTTAATGCTTAAAAGTTCTATTTCACTTAAAGTTAAACATTTCGATATTTTAAAAATAGTATGAATATCAGATATTCAGTTTTTTTGCATTTAATTTCAATGTGTAATATTTTATGGACCTGGTTGCTGATAAAGCTGGGGTGACTGATAAAGATTTCATCAGAAATGCAGTCTATCAACATAACCACATTTACCACAAAAACAGTGTTTGAGTTACGAATGTGGAAAAAACAATAACTCTATTTACCACAATGATATGTTCACTCAGGTTACTGCTGCAAAAATAATAATATAATGAAGGTTATGTCCCATTCAATCACTAGTTCTATTTACCAAAAGTCACACAGGGGCATCCGTGGCCGGGTGGTTAAGGCTGTTGATTTCAAAGCACTTGCCCCTCACCACTGTGGGTTCAAATCTTGCCAGGGACTTTAAATGTTTTGTGTGAGCAAGCTTTCCACTAACTTTGGTGATTCAGAACTCAGCTGTCTATTTGTGCCTGAAATAATGCACAGAGGAGCACCTGCATGAGGTCTTCCTCCACCAGTAAAGCTGGAAAGTCACCATAATTATGACCTTTAAAAAAGTGATATAGCCAAAGCATATTGGTTATTTTTTTCCAATCATAATACATAAGCTATTGACCACAAGGACATAATTATTCAGCTATGCTTTTAATGAATAACTATAACTATAATATACCACTTTAAACAAAACATTACCTCTATTTACCATATTGACAAATAGCTCACCTCTGGGTAATGAGTTGTAGGCACTTGTAAGTTACACAGTGAGATTTCTACCCCCATTGAGATATTGGCCTTCTCTATCAGTGAGTTATTGATACTGCTCTCAGATACCCCGTAATATTCCGCTAAACACGACTGTATATTTGTCCGATCTAACAATACCTGAAAATAAAATTAGTAAAGGTTTTGTCAATTTGGTTAGAATCACCATATTCTTGCATATCAGACTGGCGTTTCCGTTAGTTTTATACTCATGCCCGAAATTTTATCATGGCAGAATATGCAAGAAAAAATATCTGACATATTTGCAACTTAGATCAGAAAATCTGTCCCTTGGGAACCCGCCAATAAGCGGTAACTAGGCAACCTATGGTACTGCCCAATCATGGGTGGGTCCCCTCAAAATGGATATTCCGATTAGAACCACTATGACAGATATCAGTAAGTTAAACCCCAATAATTAATGTTATAATGAAGAATCAAATACATGTACCTTATGTCTTTTTATATCATTCTGACATAAAGTGAAAATAATAGACTTTTAACGACAATCCATGTAGTCTAACCTCAGGCTCTACACACACTATTGGCTGACCAATATTAAAGGCATAAATCCTGCTGTTACATATTACAGACTATATAGGTAGAAATGAAAACTGTATAACAGAAATTATCTCAACTGTGCATCACCTTATCATCTTACAATAGGATATTAACAGAAAAAAATTTAATACAGATAAAATTTGGGTTGGGGAGGGGAGGGGCTTGCTTTGTCATTCACTTACCATTGGTGAGAAAGCTATGATGTGGGATGAGATTGGAGGGGCTTGTTTGATCATTTACTTACCATTGGTGAAAAAGCTATGATGGTGGGATGGGAGGGGCTTGCTTTATTATCACTTACCATAGGTGATAAAGCTATGATGGGGGGATGGGAGGCCTAGGGGCTTGCTTTATTATCACTTACCACTGGTGAGAAAGCTATGATGGTGGGATGGAAGGGGCTTCCTGTATTATTACTTACTTACCATTGGTGAGAAAGCTATGATGTAAATCACAATAACTGCCACCAAAAGGATAACCTGTCGTAACCATCTGGTGACAGCAATTTTTGTTGCAATAGTCCGGAGACCCTTCGGTGTACATTGAAATACCTCTGATAGCATCAGCATGAACAGACTACCCGTAATCACAACCCCTAAAGGGTACACAACTGCCATTACTACCGTCCTGAAGAAAGTGAATAATGAAGAAAATGATATTTTATGACAGTCTTTTATAACTGACACTAATTATGGAATACAATATGTACAAATCCTGTAGTAAATGTATCAATTATATTTTGCCAAAACAATGTATTAGTTCATTTCAATTTTTGCAAATAAACATTTCTTAAACTAGTAACAATAAAAAATGTGCAGGTGCATGTTAACCCTTATTATGTTCAGTTTACCACTCCAAATTGCACTCGTTACCATAGTAACAAAAATCTTCTAAGAATTTCTAAATCAATGCTTCCAATATTAATTACTATAATCAGAGAATACATCATTAAAGCATGTTGAAATTAATTATAAAATCAATTAAAGGAGTGCAGGCATTGCTTTAACAATTTCATTTTTTTACTGTATACATGTATATAAATCAGTTCAATGAAAACAAATGCTTTTCTCTTTGAAACAAGTTTGTTTGTTGCTTTGTTTTGTTTTTTTTTGTTTTTTTTTGTTTGGTCTGGTTTGATCTTGGTTTTGCACTGGCTGCAAAATGTAGATCAGTTGTCACCAAGAAGGAAAAGGTTAATCTCTGAAGTGTCCATGTTGTAGTCACTGTTATCTATAGATTGGGTTTGCCCAAGGTTAAGAGATGCTGACAATAATTATAATGGTTGTTCTAAAAAGTTTCTTAGCTATATCTGATGGAAGAACCCCAAAATACCTTGCCCCATATTATCTTATTTCAGAGCTGTCTTCAAGGAAGGCAAATAATTTATAAGACCAGTTAAAATATTCCACAATATGCTTATGAATTAAACCATAGAGAAGATTGGGAAAATAATTCAATGATGGTTGTGGAAACATATACTGAAGAGCATTTTTTAACTTGTTGAACACCAATTGGATAAGAATTTTGAACTCATTGAGATATGATCTATAATAACTTGAGCCACCCATTGCACATCTGCAAATTCTGATTAGACTTTTGCATATATATGTGTACACTTCCTATGTTTTTATGCCATCTGATCATGGTCTAATGCCATCTGATCATGGTCTATGCCCAATCTGATCATGGTCTATGCCCAATCTGATCATGGTCTAATGCCATCTAATAATGTTCTTTTGCCATCTGATCATGGTTTATGCCCAAACTGATCATGGTATTTGCCCCATCTGATCATGGTCTATGCCCAATCTGACCATGGTCTATGCCCAATCTGACCATGGTCTATGTCCATCTGATCATGGTCTATGCCCAATCTGACCATGGTCTATGCCCAATCTGACCATGGTCTATGTCCCATCTGATCATGGTCTATGCCCAATCTGACCATGGTCTATGTCCCATCTGATCATGGTTTATTCCCAATCTGACCATGGTCTATGTCCCATCTGATCATGGTCTATGCCCAATCTGACCATGGTCTATGCCCAATCTGACCATGGTCTATGTCCCATCTGATCATGGTCTATGCCCAATCTGACCATGGTCTATGCCCAATCTGACCATGGTCTATGTCCCATCTGATCATGGTCTATGCCCAATCTGACCATGGTCTATGCCCAATCTGACCATGGTCTATGTCCCATCTGATCATGGTCTATGCCCAATCTGATCATGGTCTATGCCCAATCTGATCATGTTCTATGCCTCATCTGATCATGGTCTAATGCCATCTAAAAAGTTCTTTTGCCATCTGATCATGGTGCAAGCCATCTGATCATGGTTTATGCCATCTGATCATGGTTTATGCCATCTGATAATGGTATAGGCCATCTGATCATGGTCTTATGCCATCTGATCATTGTCTAATGCTATTTGATCACGGTCTAAGCCATCTGATCATGGTCTAATGCCATCTAATAATGGTCTAATGCAATCTAATAATGGTCTATGCCATCTGATCTAGTCTAGTCTAATGCCATCTGATCATGGTGGAGGTGTAATTTTCTCTGTGACAAATATCTCTGGTATTGAGTCTAATGATTATTTTTTGATTTCAGGATAACATGTCCATCACTTGTAGAGAAATTTGTAGAAACAAGTTAGTTATCCGGAAAAGCCAACAAGGTGGATCAACAACAAAGATATGACCAAAAAACAAAGTTAAATTCAGTGTAAAAGTCCATGAGAAATCAAACAAACACATCTTATACAGACTGGATTTGTGCTTTGTTTTACGAACCTGGACATTAAATGTAACATAACTTTCTAAATAATTCCTTTTTTGTTAATCATCGGATCACAAATTAATTTTGTTAAGCTTCCATTTTTATTTATTTGTCTCATATTCATTTTTGAGGACACCATTATGAAATTTAAAGTTGGTCAACCGAAAGTATTGAGCTTAATGGTTTAAAGTCTTTGCAGAGTAGTGCAAGCTTAGATGCCTTGCTCTAGTAACTGCTGGCAAAGGTTTCAACAAATTCTTCTGCCTCAGAAATGTCGAAATGTTTAGCATGCACCTTTAAATTGTCTGCAACAATGCTGCATTATTAAAGGGAAAGACAAGGTTAGAATAAAAACTTGATTTCAGAAAAAGAATACTATAAATAATAAATCTGCAAATTTTCTGCCGCCAAATAATAATATTAAACGAATGATAACAAAATTTAAATCGCTAAATCACCGATTTCTACAAATCAGAAGGCGCGGCCATGTTTGTGTATTGGCCGTATAAAAACAGGTGCGCGTGATGTCATTTCCCCACATCTTTCGACTTATGATAAATCTAGTTGAATCGTAGCGAAATATTAATACAATAAAGTATTGACCAGACAATTTAATTTTCACAGGAGAGATTTTCAGAGGAGATTTTTTATGGTTCAAAATAAGTAACAATAACCAAAAAAAAAAAAATAATAAAGAAACAAATAAAAAATCAACGTCTACCGGTCACACCATTTCAGGCCAGTGATGCCCGATACTCCAAACAATGATATGTTTATTAAAGTCTCATCTTAATGTAATTAAACAATATTTCACAGATTTAATAAATACACATGTTATAATTTAACAAAGTTTCACTATCAAATAATGCAATTAAATAAAGAAACGCACCAAAGAATAATTGGCTGTTAATTATTGAACGGCGATAATTATCATTAATATAAAAATCCTACTAAAACGTGTTCTTAATAGTACATGTAATTAAATTTTTGCAGTTTGATTCTGACTTTCAAATTAAAAGGTGTGAACATGTGTTATAAATGATGTACACATTTCAAAAATATAAGCAACTATTTTGAAAAGTAAATTGTTAACATGTCTGTCAACGTATGATGCTGCGTTGTATTTATTTACTTTGTAATCGTTGCAGGCAAAACATTTTTATTGGCTGCTCAAAAATCTAATTTGCATAATTTATTCACACAATTGCTGGTTCTTACTACTTATGTCTAAACTGTGCATTATCCATTTTAATTGTTCCTAATTTGCACCAAATGTTCCTGTCACACTGTGTACTGACGATTTTTATTGCTCCTTGTATGCCTCTGTGCCGACAGACCTTTTGATCATGCACAATGTTGCCCTGATTGGTTAATCACCCTTGTCAAATATTCTAATGACGAAATAGACATCTATTTCTTTACGCTTCATCAGTGAACTGAATGACCTTAGGGGAAATTAAGTTCCGCGCCTGTCAAGTTATACTGTAATTTACAGCATTTCATAAAATAGCAACACATTTTTTTTTCAGTTACCAATAATCATTTTAAATATTAAGTAGAATTATGATTTTTTGTTTTATTGGATTAAATTTACGGTAGTAGAAATGCGTATCTGTGTGGGAAAGGGATTGGGTAAGTAGATAACGTGGAAAAAAGCTATAGGGAACTGAATAAATCCGAGAATATGCGTAATTACAGGGGAATGGGCAACCTGTTGCTGTTGGTACCAGTTTTGACTGGGTGCCTAAATAACCTAACGGACAGTTTTGTTTTCATACGATATTAGTCTGGCTGCCGATTTTCCTGCGCAATTCTCATTTTTAGCGTCAATGGCGGAAAATCGCGTCCTCAGCTGATCTCTGGATATTGGATTTAGTTGATATTTTACGCTGAAAAAAAGATACATGACCGGCGATGTACCCTATTAGGACAGCTTGTCTAGCGAAAATTAAGTACAAAATAAAAGGATATATCGTCAATTTGAAGAAGTTTCTCATAGTACCCAAATTAAATTGATATGGTTTATATTTGAAAATTAAGCATTCATTGCTTAAATCATGTGGTGGGATCATCAGCAAGCTTGAAAATCGGACAAATGATAATTAATGTCGCGGCGTCTTCAATTAATTAATTAAAGCAATTCACTTCCATATGATGTTTTCATATATGATATATAATATGTACGCAATAAGATTAATAAGTTCTTCATCAAGTTGTACCAGCGTGTACACCTATACCGGAAGTGGGTGTAACACGTCACATTCTCGGTCTCGTCTGTCTCGCGAGAATGACGGAACGCAAAAATGGCGGCGCCCATGAACTTATTTCTAAAGTAAAAAATAGTGTCTTAAAACACGAATTTCTCACTTATAAGGTTGATGTCAACAGAAAAACTGTCATGGAACCTCTTTTTAAATGATGAATATTTATATTAGACAGACATCAATCCATCCATTCCTATTCCTTTAAAGTCATGTTCAAGTTAATTTATAGTTGGATGCCATAGCATAATTATAAACCTTAATTGAATCACTGAACAATCCTTCAAGAGAAAGATTTGATTGATTTACTAATGAGCTCTTCTTATAATTAACTTTACCAAGCAAAGTGATCAATACAATGATTCTGTGATTAAATGCAGTAATATGAACGGATAATGAAGTGAAATAACAAAATATGTTTGCACTTTTTACAAGAGGCTTAGTAAGGATATATTTACAGTGTATGGACCTTTATGGCTGTTGGATGCAAACAAGTTTTACAATTAAGATCAAGTAAATGGGGGAAACAACTAATGTATTAGTATAAACAAGATAAGAAATAAAGGAAAGTAAGGTCAAATATCTAAGTCAAGTACAAAGGACAAATCTGTATTAAGACAATATACCGGAATATAATATTATAATACATGTAAACTAAAGGGGCTAGGCTAATCTTTAGGGCAGACGGGTGCTGAAAAAAAATTTAAACTGGCCTGCCCGTGGGCAAGTAGATTAGTCTTGATTCCTCTTGCCTGTACTAAAATTTCACTTGTCCAGACAGCTTTAAATCTTACAATAAAATTCCAAATTAAGGTTGCCTTGAGTTTGTAGTTTATTACTGTATAATGATGTTTGTGGCATAAATTTTTTCATGAAAATATATTTGTATGTCAGATACCAGTGAGTTAGGCATTAAATTCGCAATTTTGTATCAAACAACTTTTGACAAGCTGTACATGAAAATAATTGCCAAAGGAAAAGTTATAATTTAGGACAATCATAATGTGTAAGTAAATAAGGCATGTTATTTAGACAAGTATTAATTATTAAAGCAAGCCTTTAAGAAAAAAATAATCATGTGATATGAATATATAGACCAAGACTTTAAGACAAGTATTTAGAAGAAAAAATTAAGACCTTCTAAAGTACATTGTAGTATTGAAATAGCCCCAAAAACAAGAACAGCAACCCCTATTCTTATCTGTACAAACCTGGGCTTTGATCAATCATTTGACATGGCAATGTAATCACTTTCAAAATATAAAAAATTATGTCAAGACAAAATACTTAATTAAAATACAGGTATCATGATATATAGAAAGTATTTAGGACAAGTATAAGGGGGCAAAATTATAAGAAAATAATGTGTACAGCAAATAACTTAAGGTAAACCTATAAATAGTATACATGTATTATTTTAAATTAAAGAACATATATACACACATATATCGTCACTTTAGTGCAAAAACTTGATGTTAACTTTTTTATTAAAGTTAAGAAGGGCTTTACACGCTAATGCACTATTAGGTGGCAACATATACATGTATGCATATCAATTGACAAAAACTTCAATCAAATGTGTGAGGCAAGAATATACAAAAGTATTATATATATGCAAAACAAATTTATATAGTTTGTGCAGAGTTAGTCAAGTCAATAGGAAAATCACATTTATCATATCAATGTTTATGAGAATAATTATGTTACTCTATTTTTCAACTCTGTTCTTAGGGCTGAACAGAGCAAAACAAAAATGTTTCATGAGATGTTCACGTTGAAAGAATTAAAAATCTCTGATGTCCCCAAAAATATGCAGTTTGAAATGATTTAATACTAGAAATGTGTCATCATGCCACGGATGCCCCCGCATGCAGCCAAAATTTCAGATGGTGCATTAATTTTTTTTTATTTTAAGTTCAAAGCCCTTAAAACTTTTCAATGTTAACACAAACCATTTTCATACACTGTTTAAGGCACTGAAATTATTCAGTCTTAACCTTTTAAAAATAGCATATTGCATATTTGTAGCCAAAATAATGGCTAAAAGTATGAGTGCTGAAACTGAAAGTTCAAAATATTTCCTACATTCAGGAAAGATAAGTTTGTCTAAAATCATTGAACCACAACCAAATTCAAACTTAAACTGCTTATTCCTAAGATGTATCTATATTATTTTCAAAGTGAAAGGGACATAACTCTGCCAAAAAATCATCAAACCATGACCAAATTCCAACTTGACCTGCCAATTCCTTTGACATATCTATATGTAAAATTTAAGTTGAATATGTAACACTGTTGGGTAGATAATGAACAGAAACTGTAAATTTCATATTATTTTTCAAAGTGAAAGGGGCATTAGTCTGCCAAAAATCATTGAACCATGACCAAATTTGAACTTGACCTGGGCATTCCAAAAACATATCCATATGTCAAATTTGGGTTAAATGTGTTGAACCATTGGGGAGATAATGAACGGAAACTGAAAATTTCATATTATTTCAAAGTAAAAGGGGCATACTCTGCCAAAAATCATCAAACCATGACCAAATTCGAACTTGACCTGTATTTTCTCATGACATATCCATATGTCAAGTTTGAGTTGAATGTGTTGTACCGTTGGGGAGAATTTGAAAGGAAACTGAAAATTTCATTTTATTTTCAAAGTAAAAGGGGCATAACTCTGCCAAAAATCATCGAACCATGACCAAATTTGAACTTGACTTGTATTTTCTCATGACATATCCATATGTCAAGTTTGAGTTGAATGTGTTGTACCGTTGGGGAGATAATGAACGGAAACTGAAAATTTCATATTATTTTCAAAGTAAAAGGGGCATAACTCTGCCAAAAATCATCGAACCATGACCAAATTCGAACTTGACCTGTATTTTTTCATGACATATCCATATGTCAAGTTTAAGTTGAATGTGTTGTACCGTTGGGGAGATAATGAACGGAAACTGATATTTCATATTATTTTCAAAGTAAAAGGGGCATAACTGTGCCAAAAATCATCGAACCATGACCAAATTCGAACTTGACCTGTATTTTCTCATGATATATCCATATGTCAAATTTGAGTTGAATGTGTGCAACCGTTCTTAAGATAATGAACGGAAACTGATGATGACGGAATGACAGAATGACGGAAGGACGGAAGGACGGAAGGACGGAAGGATGGAAGGACGGAAGGACGGAATGACGGAACAGGGTAACACTATATGCCCCGGCCATTACATGGCGGGGGCATAATAAAAATATTGACTTACTTGCCAGTACAGTACATCATCAAAATGCTATACACTGAATAAATTTAAAGTAAATCTGACAAGTTATTCAAAGAGAAAAATATTAAACGGCTCCAGATACGATCTTGCTAATTTTTTTTTCATGAAAATTTTGAAATGAATTAAGTAAATAATTTACGCATTGCAAATGGCACTTACAAAAAATGAAAATTACAAAAGTAAAAATAGCTAAAAAATTGCATCAAATGGCACTATGTATAAGGAACTTATTAGAAATATGTGAAAAATTGGTCATAAATAGCGAAAAAAACATAGAAATTATTACTTATAAAATAAATCTTTTACTATTCTAAATGTTAAATTATTTATCTCAAGTTTGATTTTCTTAAAATATTTTGGCTAATCTGGAGGCATGCAGTTTTATTATGATGACCCAACATTAGATGCCCGAGGGTATATACAAGCCAGACCATATGCTATTATAAATAACTGATCATGACCCTGATTTAGGTCAGTTAAAATGTTGGTATGTTGACAACAATTAAGGTATGGTATTTTTTAACAACAGGACACAAACCTTTGAATGATAATAAGTTGCAGTACACATATAGTGACAAGCATGGCTAAAGTGCATCCCAAGTGTGCAGTGAACATTGTGTCTCGTACACGGCAAAACTGAAACACATCCAATATGTTAACATACGGTTAAAATAAGCAGTGCTACATAAAAAAACAATGTCTGTTTTCTAGTTCAATGCCATAATACAATAATTTAGCTTAACAAAAATAATTTTGCATCTTTTTTTCTTTTTTAGCAAAAGTCGAAAAAACATTGATGTGTTGATTTTTTTATTTATTTTTTTTATATTTTTTTGCACATAAAAATTTATTAGTATGGCCAAAATACTATAATTTAATTTTTTTTTAAAAATCAACTGTAGTGTTAAGGGTATATTGGAAAACTGGAAACAAGACATTATTTATGTGAATTAAGGAATATGCAGGTAAATTTCAGGTAAAAAATCAATTGAAAAACGTAATTGCATTCTAAAATATAACATTTTAGTACAATTTATCACAAAATCATGAATATAACTGTTCAGACAACCAAGAATATTTGTGCTGGTGTTAAAGTTACCAATTAACTTACAAAATTAACCAGAGATCAAAATGACAAGATTGTTGTGTAATTCCAGGCAATGAAATCATATGTACTTCGGGTAAAGTAAATGTGTGCTTCATATTTTATAATGAATTCTAACACAACCCTATTAAACATAGAAGGACCTAAAGTGTGTGCTATTATGATTCTTACACGACCCACATTTTTCCCTATTGAACATAGAAGAACAGAAAGTGTGTGTTATTAATGATGCAAAAAAAATCACAGTTTGACATTCTATATTTAGACATGTGACATAATCATTATACATATGATGTTACCAATTAAAATGTGACATGCTGAAAATGAGTACGGAAACAAAACAAGCGCAATTTGGCTTAATATCAGGTATGGAAGCATTTATTTGTTGATGTCGTGTTAGAATCAAAATATTATATCCAAATCAGTGATTTTTTCACTTGATAAAGTCACTGTTTGTCTTTCGGATATGCATCATTATACAATTCCTTGCATCCAAACTCCAAACAATCGATAAAATCACTGATTTGGATATATTATTTCTTAATTAATGAAATTGATATGTAAATATTAATAACTAAATATCTGTACAAAAAGTGCTCTTCAGGGTTAGATGACAATAAAACAAGAGAACATAGATTAGAATCAAATTTGTATGAATTTAAATTTTGATGTGATAAAAAGTTTTTTTAAGAAATAATATCTGTCTTCTGAAACAGTCGACAACAACACCTGAATTAAAATATCTTATCAATCATGCATTCCTCTATAGCTTTTATCAGGACAAACTGTTTCAGTTTGATTTAGTTTTACTGCATAGTAACACAATTAAGGTCATATGGCACTGAAACTGGAAAGATGATTTTGGCTAACTTCGGGTGTTACAAACTTGCAAGCAACACCAGAGGGATCTAAACCACCTCACCTGCTAGAGCTAAGAGATACATAGACTCCAATAATTCAGACCTTAGTAAGCCGCCTCCTACACTCATGCAGGGAAAAACGGTGCCTGCAATTCTGATGCCTCAACTCTAAAAGGCAACCCCTTAGCCATAAGGGAGTCGTATAAATGATATAATTATTAAACATAGGACATAACATAATACTATGGATAACAAATGTCAAAAGGTCAGACGTTTTATTTTAATTATGAAGATAAAAAAGTACAATATCACTGTTCTCAACTGATAACTTGAAAACAGTAACAAAATATTATTGACAGTATTTGCCAAGAGACAAAATTGCAAAAGCCTTCTGTTTTCCAGTCATTCTTTCTAAAGTTAAGGGAAAAATGCTTTTCATGATCCGATTCTGAGAGTCTGTTCTAATGCTTCCTAGCATGCAATTGTGCATCGACAGGTATTTGCATCATCCTCATCATTTCAGGGTCTTTATGCCGTCCTATATTGTTGTCCCCAAAACCTCAGTCTTGTAGTAATAAAGCAAAAAAGATCCTTCTGATAATAATTAACATACAAGGCCCAAAATTTGAAAACAAATTTGATCATAATCCCGCCATGACATAAGTTTTTTTCAAGGGATAACGAAAACAGCAACAGTAAAGGGGTAAAGGGCAAGATGGAAGACTCCCTTGGAATGCAATGAAACAATATTTGTACAAATGAAATTTAAGACTCCAGTTGTAATTGATGTAATGTTAATGTGATAGTTAATATGTTAAAAAGTGCACATCTCCCACACACCCTTATTGTTAGCGCCTAGCTTAAGCAGTATTCAATTTTCAACATTAATGGTCCCCCGACGACGAGAAAATATAACGTTACAATGAGGTTAAGTATTATAATGGCAACAATTTACAGCTACAACCACACATCATCTGGTAACTTCTGCTCTTCTTGTGTCAGTATAAAAACAAAGACTGAAGTGCTTAAATATGAACCAAGAAGATCCAAACTTTACGGTTGTTTTACTGTAATGATTTCCCATCAAAAATTTATTACATCGGCCAATATCGTTATAAATCATTTCTGGACTGTTATTTTTCCCAATTTTCGGTATTCTATAATCTTTAACCATTTAAAACCGGAATTTAGTACATTATAAGCAATAAAGGATAATTGATTCCGGAAATAACCTATTAATGCTACAAAATGGGCTGATATTATAATATTTTTGGGGTTAAACTACCTTAAAATAAAAATGTTTAAATTGCCAGTATTGACATTGGCATGGTTTTGTAATAAATCAAACTAAGAAAAAATACAAAATAACCTTGACTTTCTGTATTGACTCATAGACTGTCTAAACACCAGATATAAATGAACTCCAGAATGCTCAGTCACAGTCGTTATTTCTTACAGAAATTTTTCATTACGTATAGTTCTAGCTTGATAGAAAATTGCCGTAAAAAATTATAATGGCTCATTAACGTTTATAATTTAGCTGACTGAGTCCTGACGTATTCAAATCAAGTCTTATTGTTGGTAATTAAGCCTAAAGATTGCTAATCAATTTATCAAATCTGTCATTTATCAGCCTTATATTATTGATATTCCAAACAAGTACAAATGTACTTAAACAAGTACAAAAGTACATAAAACTCTTTTTCATTTTTAATGCAAGATCAGACATTCTGAACATATTCTTATGCTATTAAGTTCATCAGGAACAAGGTCACCCACTTATAAAGGAGGGTTAATAACTTTTATGATGACAGGAGCTACATTTTCTTGTTCCATCAAAATAGAGTCAAGTCAACAAGCTTGTATATCAATGTATGTTGTCTGACCTGATACATACATTATACCATTCAGTGCTTTTCTAAGGGCTGATTTTGGGGCTGATATACAAAGTTCAGCCCATGATTCCCCTCATATCTCTAAAAAGTATTAATTTTTCACCAATTATTGAAAACAATTCCTTTCCTTATCAAAAGTGAAGAGCATTTCTTTATAAGTTTGAAATGATAATTAATGGTGCTGCATCGCAATTTAACATAAATGGAATGTTTTTGCCTTTTTATAAATTTTCCTCTATTTCCCCCTGTATCAGATGTCATTAATTTTTCCCCTCTTTATGCATGGCTGTGCAAATTATTTATTCCCCTAAAAACATATGCCTAAATGTGAAAGTAAGCATTGCTGCTAGTAGTTAGTGGCTGTCTTATTTATGTAATATTACATAAAATTCCTCACAATAACGTTCAAATAACAATGGCCTCACATAGTTCAATTTAACTCCAAAAGTTTGACCACTGCCATAATCCATTACACAAATCCAGCATGCTTTTTAAAGGTTAATCTTGAAAACCCATCGCTTAATAATTATGCAGACACCAGTCCTTAACCATGCTTGCTTTTCTTGCCATTTATATTTGTTTGGGTCGTCAGACCAAACAAATAATGGTAGCGAAATTTCAGACCCTGATGCTGTTAATTGCAAATGCAGAAAGTAGTCTGCTTTTTTGAAGCGGTTACTTCCCTTTATATGTACACCAACACCGAAAAATTCAGGAGAGATCACTGCGTAAAGATGGTCAAATGACAGGCACATTAATTTTCAAGCAAACTAGTTCCCGAATGGTCGAAGATTTCTAATATTGTTTTATTCTTTATAGATATACATGCTTATAGTAAGCTCCATGATTATTTACATCTGTGTTAAACAACAGTAATAAGGGTTACAAACCCTAATTTAGAATAATATGGTTTTCTTCAGACCATTAACATATAACTTCACTGTGGCCGAGGGGTTTGCGCACTCGCTTAGGAAGCGAGAGGTCTGGAGTTCAAATCCCAGTTAAGGCAACTCATTTTTTTTTCAAATAGTTTAAGTCAAATAAACATTGAATTGAATATCAGTGTTGCAATTAGTCTTATAGCCAATTTAAATACTACAATTAAAAAGCTGGAAAGCATTGGTAGCACTATACAAAAACAAATTGGTTTATAATCTCACAACCTTCACCTTTCTGACATTCTGAGACCCAAACAAATTCAGCACCTTCTGTGCTTTGATTTACTAGGGATATCATTTATTAATATTCAAACAATAAACTTACTTGTTGTGTATATTGGCGTTAGCATCTTCACCAAATCCCATCGTCTTCATGCCTTTACTTAGGTTACTGTTGGTTAACTGATTATGAAGACCTGTACGACTATTTTTAGGTACCTGTATACCAATAAAAATTTCTTTTTTAAATAAGATCAGTGTTTCTACTATTTTAAGGTTACAAGTGTAGACTAATAAAATTTCTTTTAAAAGATCTGTTTTAACTATTGTTCCATATTTAATATTGTACCATTATTTAATTAATGTACAATACATACATAGTTACTGGTATATGGTTTTAAAAAATGGGTCAAAGAAAAGGCCGGGTTGCATTTGTATACCAAATATCATGATCAGGCTGTGATGTTACAAAAAATGTTTACCATTAATTTGACCATTAATGTCAAAAATTTAACTAAGTCTGTAAATTATAGGAAGTGGACGAGCCGCTGCCGCCACCCATCATTCACCATACTATAACCCAGGTTTGCATATGTGCAACCCGCCAAAAAAGGATGTTCTGTCAATCAACTTACTATATAAATATATCATTATCATAATAATTATTTTGTATTCCATTTGAACAAGTTATTGATTTATATACATGTATCTAATGATGCTCAAACGATCTTCCCCACTGAAGTATCAGAAGGACAAAATCAATGTGCTACCCTTTGCAGTCTGGCCATTTTTTATTTTTTCTAAAAATTACTTCAGTCAATAAAGTATATAATGTACAAGTTTATGACCTTTTCCTTCTCTCTGTGTTGCCCATTTTTAATGAGATAAGTCTTGATGTTGTTGTCACGTAAATACTGGTTCCTATCTCCACCATTACCTTCCTCCACTTCAAAATCTCCGTTGAGACATTTCAACGTCTCTTCTGTTATATGAACCCTCCTACAACATTTGTTATATAAGTTAATAAAAAACATTAATTAAACACCTAGTTAAATCTATAATAGTATTATTTTAAATCTATTTTCATTAGACAATTGTGATGTTTAAAGTATCTTTATTATACATTGTAATACAGCATGTGTTTGTAAGACCAATTTTCATTGGATAATTGGCAGTTATTTAATCAATTTTTTAATATATGCATGGCTAATCTGTCAATCAATGAGGTAATTATCAGTTATTAAAGTGGAAGTTTAGGAGAGAGACCCTATGTAAAGCAATAAACTCTTTTTACAACAACAGTTTCAATAATCTTCTGAAGTAAGGTTTAGCAATGAGTTTAAAACCATAGAGACGCTGCAGCATCATTATGACTCCTCTCAGTTCATCAGTACAAAAAAAGTTTTTCTCCTTTAAGGCTGTCTCTATGCAGATAATATTCATTTTTCAACTTACCCTGGTATACCTCCTGCTTCCATGTTATTGGCTAAGGTAACGTCATTTGACCAGACGTCAAACTGCCATTTCCGCAGTCCAAGTACGCCACAATGCACCCTACCAGAGTGTATACCGATTCGCATATTTACCTCTGTGCCTGTCACATTTCGTATCAACCTGTAAATTAAAATATTATATTAAGAAAATAAAATTAACAATACAGGATGGGTTATTGTAGGTTAGGTTAATTACATAAGGTAAATTGGAGGTTAAATGGGCAAAAATAGACAAAACAGTTGGCAGGCCATTTTGTCAGGAAATAACTATGTGAACAAAAGTATGAACTTATTTTCATCTGATTGAAAATGCTAAAGGTGGAAATTAAAAGGGTAAACAAAGGCATAAAAAAAGGTGTCAACAATGGTATGAGCAAGATTTGACCAAACCTATGATTGAATCTAATAATATCATCTTTTCTGTTAATAGAATGAAATGAAATTTTCATGCTTATTCAAAATGCATTTTAATTAAGGTAATCAAGTAAACTTACGAGATTGCCTCGATCATGTCTAGCCCCATGTCTATACAGCACTGAGCATGGTCTGCTCTTGCCTCCGGCACTCCACACACACAGTAATAACAATCTCCTAAAATCTTGATTCTGTGTAAGAAAACAACATACAATTAATAATACTGTTTTGATATCATAATTACAACAGAAAACTCAAAGAAAACAGATATATTATAAAAACCTATGATAGACAATAATTAGCTATTTGGTAAGCGCTTTTAAATTTCTGCAATAAAATACCAATAACAACAATCATGATGACCATTTAAATTGTCTGGTTGGTGGGCAATTTCTGGTTAAACCGAATTCTTTTAGTTTGTAATATCTAATAAAACTATCATGATTTCCATGACAATTTTAACCTGTATGCAAATCCAGGTAAAATCTTAACACTTGTGATCATAACTTTTAACTTGTTTGCAATACCAGGTGATATTATCATTATTGTGTCACAACTATGACAATAAATTTAACTTGTATGCAATACCTAGAAAATTACTAGCATATAACTGTGACCATAACCTTTATTTTGAACAGAACTGAACATATCTTTAATTCACCAAGGTACAAGAAGATATCATATTGTACAACATGGGGTTATTACAAAATTTACAATTACACAAAATAATATACATGTAGTATCCAGTAAATGAGTATTACAATGTTACAATATTACAAGAAAGAGAGAAAGAAAGTATTGTCTGCAATACTTAAAATTACAATCACTATTAAAATGTGTGCAATACTTGGTGTTTTTATCATTATTGTGACAATAATTTTAAATTGTTTGCAATACCCAGTAAAATCTATTGCACTACAAGGTATAAGATTTTTAATACTTGTGACCAAAATTTTCAACTTGTTTGCAATACCTTTTGTAAAATTATCATAATTGTAACAATAAGTTACTCTTTAAAAGTTTGCAATACCAGGGGTGAAGTGATCCTTATCATTACCATAACTTTAAAATTGTTTGCAATGAATGATAAAATTAATCATAAGTGTGATAAATTATCAGTATAGTGAATACAACTTAACTAGTGTGCCTTTCCTTGTAAAATTATCATCATACAACAATAATTTTAACTCTAAATTGTATGCAATTCTTGGTAAGTTTATCATAAGTGTAACAAAAATTCTGATTTTTCTATGCAATACTTGGAAAATTATCAAAATATACAGACTATAATTATGACTCATTTCAACTATTGTGCAACATCTGGTAAAATTATCATAACTGCAGCGATAATTTTAATTTGAATGCAATATCTGGTTACCGTAAATTTATCATAACTGTAGCAATAGTTTTAACTTGTATGCAATACTTGAAAAAATTATCATACATTGTAACTGCAGCAATAATTTAAAGTTGTATGCAATACCTCAGACAATGATTATCTGCAGCCAGGCAGTCAAATCTGGCAAATATTTCATTGAGCAGCTGTACCAATTCTTGAGCCGTGCACTGTGAAGATAACTGGGTAAACCCACACATATCAGCAAATGCAATACTGAAATGATAAACAAAGAATATTATGTATAAGATATAATTGATAACAGCAAATGAATACCTGAAACAACAAAGGTAATTATATGCAATGACTATTATATAACATGTATTAATTTTGCAAAAGCAATACTTATGATGTATCTGAAATGGCAATACTACTAGGTGTAAAAAGAATCATTTACCAATAATATCTCACAGTACAACCTCTACAGAAACAACCTTAGAAAGACAAAGATAAGCGGTTGTTGCTGAGACACAGAGGTTTTCCTCTTGAGTGTTAAAATTTATTTTTAAAGACACATCTACATTTACTTTAAAGGCACATTATGCCTTAGAAATGAATATTTTTTTCAAATTCTTTAGAAAGGTCAAATATGTGTTAAATAATTGTTTAGGAAATGAATTTATAGCTTTTAAGATGATCAACAGCAGACAAATACAGCAATTAACATGTAGTAATGTGTCATAAAGGCAGCACAATGTCGACAAAGTAGTATTTTGACATACACAATACTAAATTTTTATAATTATAATTACATGAATAGCAATTGCCAAAGAGAAAAGGAGCAAAAGATAAATCATCTATATGACCTATTTTAACTGTCACAATAAAAAAGAAAGTTTTTTAAAAATAAAATTTAGAGCATTTTTCAGGCTTAATGGGTCTATAGGTTTCATTTTGAATAGTATTGTTACTATTCTTGTAAAGAGGTTATTACTCTACAGAGGGGAGGCTACTCTGTTGGCATACATATTATAGGGCAATTGGACTGTTTTTTCAGGGCTTCTGATTTTCATTCATACTGGGTATGAAGATTATACTTATTAGTTTGAATCGTCTTAAATGTTTACACTCTGTCCCACTGAAAAAAATTTGTCTATTCATCAACATTATCAAGTACTACATATTTTAATACTGAATTCATTTTAGTAAGATTGTTGAGGAAGCTTAGACGCTAAAAGACACACTCTAAAACCAACCAGTACTTATCAGATCAAGTAATGTAAAGTTTCAGCCCCGCCACCCCCCCAAAAAAAACACACAAAAAAAACACCCACGAAAAAGAACCTGAACTCTTACCAACCCCATGATTGAAGCATTCTGAATTTTTAACAAGATTGCCTCCCCTGATACTTGTATTTATATGTCAATACAATAATGAATAGCTGACAGTTGATGACATATGACTGGCATCTATAATCTATAGAGTGTCTCCGATATCAGTTGGCCAGCCACTATCAGTTACTTGATGACTTTCAAGTGCTACCATATTGTAAAAACTGATTAGCTGAAATAAAATTTCCTGCTATTTATTGATCCTTATTGGGCAAATATCCTGATGTTCTGTAATATGTACTGTTAAAGCCGAGGGTACAAAATTCTTTATAAAACCAAACAGACAAGCCAATAAATCGTGACAAACTTTAGATAGCTTAAAGTGTCTCAATACATTATATCTCCGGAGTTGAAAAATTAGTAGATAACATTTTCTTTTTATATTTTATTTGCTTTTTATTTGTACAAAGAAAAAAAACAACACGTTTTATAAAGTGCTACTTTATGACACATTGTTACTCCTAAAACACTGCTTTCTTCACATGGTAAGCATTTAAATTGCATATCCGTTTCTTATTAACTTCATCAGATATGGGTTTTACACACATACTTGTCACTCACTGTGACATTAACCTTTGACTTAAATAACCTTGGTGACCTATAGTCCATGGCCGCTGACCCTTAACAAAGTTTAACAAACTAAGGATCATTGATCAGACAAAAATATTTCCATTTTTGAACTGTGATTTTCTAGGGATCATATACTGACCATAGACAAAGTGCCATCAAGTTTAACAAACTTTTAAAACTTACACCTTCTCTAATGATTGATTGGACAAGGACTTCCACAGTACCACTGTGACCTTGACCATTGACCTTATGACCTTAAAATCAATATAATTCATTCTACTAGCCATTGGCACTGTCTTTTCCTAAATAATGCAAGTAACAAACAATGTCTTATTCCTTCTGCAGTTATATACCTGACTGAAACATGGATAACATGAAGTACAGAAGGAAAGACCAACCCCATCAAAGTCATGCTCCCTCATTTTAAGTCAGGAATTTATGAAGCACAATTACTCTGTGGCTTTGAAACTGTCTATGATACCAACTTATGTAAGAAGCACTCTGTAAAAAAAATTCCTTTAAATTTGGACAATTTAGGCAACAACTCTATGAAAACTGTTCTAAAATAGCCTGGGTATTTAACTCCTATGCTTGATATCACCAGCCAATTGATATCTATGTAAAAATGGATAATTTTCTGTCATTTTCTATTACTAAATGCCATGTTTACACTATATATTCAGCAGCCACTGATATCACAGTTCAGAATGCCACGGATACAAAAAAAAGCTAGACATGAGACAATGCTGGTTGGGGGGATATGCAAAAATGACAGGCCTTAATTAATTGTTGTGTGAAAGCCATACCAGAATTTAAGAATGTTAAATATGAATTGCCATGACAGCCACAGTGTGGATATGATACATTTAAAGTCTGTAGCAGACATGGTAAAAAAATGTGACAGTACATTAAATAAAGCAATAATAAATCTAAGAAGCAATCAATATTGGGATGGAAACATTTTTTTATTCATATTACCCAACACCTTATGTTCTTTTATAGTAATGTTTTAATTATGATGCACCTAAACTAGTCTCAATATTTCTACTGCAAGACCGACCATTGTTTTATAATTTGATATATCATAGATGTCTTTCTTTACGAAGGGCAACCATCATCTGTATAATATAATTTAGCCCTATAAAGCGCACAATTTGTTGGGCTAGTGTGTAATATTGTTGAGTTCTTCCATAGTCTGACAATAGGCCTTTAGTCTGATAGGTGTCAAACAGTAACAGGGTTCTCATTTATATAATCAGATTGTCGATCCATATCATTGGCTAAAATGCTGTGGATATTGGTTGTATTTTCAGTCTGAAGATTAAAATATCCCCCTTAACCCTTAGCCAAATTGGTTGTTTTCGTTGGCACAATTGTTGCCTCAGGTAAACAAGAGCGATCAGTAATCACGTGTGTCGCCTCATGATGGCCAATTTCATGTTGGGACAAATTTTGTGACAGACGGACAGACAGACGGACAGACAGACGGACAGTGCACAACTAGACTTGGTACTGATCATTCCTGTAAAGTTTGGATAAAATTGCACCAGTAGTTTATGAGGAGTAGTCCGGACAAGCTTTTGCGTATCTGGCAACACACAGAAAAAAAACACCTTTTTATCAAAGGGCCATAACTCAGCCAAAAATCATTCAACCGGAAAACCCGTGCAATATGCGCAAGGACTTGAGCTACAGATCAATCCTGTAAAGTTTCATTGAAATTGCATTAGTGGTATAAGAGAAGTAGTCAGGACAAACTTTAAAAATAAAAATTATTAAAGGGCCATAACTCAAACACAAATCATTGAACCGGAAAATGCTGACAATATGCACAACTAGACTTGGTACTGATCATTCCTGTAAAGTTTGGATGAAATTGCACCAGTAGTTTATGAGGAGTAGTCCGGACAAGCTTTTGTGTATCTGGCAACACACAGAAAAAGAAACCTTTTTATCAAAGGGCCATAACTCGGCCAAAAATCATTCAACCGGAAAACCCGTGCAATATGCGCAAGGACTTGAGCTACAGATCAATCCTGTAAAGTTTCATTGAAATTGCATTAGTGGTATAAGAGAAGTAGTCCGGACAAACTTTAAAATTAAAAATTATTAAAGGGCCATAACTCTGACAAAAATCATTGAACCGGAAAATGCTGACAATATGCACAACTAGACTTGGTACTGATCATTCCTGTAAAGTTTGGATGAAATTGCACCAGTAGTTTATGAGAAGTAGTCCGGACAAGTTTTGTGACGGACGGACAGACAGACAGACAGACAGACAGACAGACCACGGAGAAGTGATCCCTATATGTCGCCACTACTCCGTAGAGGCGACACAAAAATGAAAACCCTGAAGTTATGATACTAATTGTCTTTCAGAAGAGAACATGTAGAAAATAATGTTGCCATACAACAATGGTTTATACAAGGCATGTCAAAGAACTAAGGGCTGTTTATGTATGCACAGTAACTCAGAGATACAGCTGCTTCAAAGTGCAATTTCCCAAAAATAACTCAGTACGAGTTCCATAGTAATTTTGTCAACCGAAATGCTACATTAAATTAACACAAATAGGGTGTCCGTTTGAAATGACTCTTTAACCCTTCAAATTTCAACCCTTCAAATTTCCAAAAGGCTTAATTTGACCCTAAGGATTTTAACTGGAAGGTCAAAATTTGTTAAAATCATGGGGATTTGGCCTTGTTGAGTTAGTTAAACTTAGTCCATTCTGGTCAAAATGACCCTCAGGATTTCATGGCTAGAGGATACCCTGACAAAGGCATCTAGAAATGTGTATTAGGTTAAATGCCCTCAAATATCATTATGTTATACATGTAAGTCTGCAGACAAACTGCAGGACAACAGGATAGGTGTTGACAACATGACTGATGCACAAGGGCAAATCTATATTCCCCCTCCCCCCTGACTGCATCCAAAAGAGTGAGGGGCATTATAAAAAGCAGGCAAACGACTGCTTGTCAATAATTCTGTGGATAAATTTAGCATAATCTAACAAGATTTGGATAAGAAGACTAAAATGGCAAAAAAAATTATGGCGCAATAGATTTCAGGCAAAAAGACAACAGAGTTAAAACATCTAGAATAAGTTTAAGAAATGACAAAGTCAGGGTATTATTCAAATATCTATGATAAACTACAACAAGAAAAATATTACATACATTCGTATGTAATATAGGTACGATTGCATACTACTTTTTGTGAAAACCTTTTATGCTTGCTGCATTATATGTGTAATGTAAAATGAACAAACATGTCATGAGATATTTTATATCTTTAAACATTTTCATGG